AACTGTCTATCTATCTATCTATCTCGTCTATCTATCTATCATCTATATCTATCCATCTTTCGTCTATCTATATCTATCTATCATCTATCTATCTATCTATCATCTATCTATCTATCTATCATCTATCTATCTATCATCTATCTATCTATCATCTATCTATCTATCTATCATCTATCTATCTATCTATCTATCTATCTATCTATCTATCTATCTAATCTATCATATATCTATCATCTATCTATCATCTATCTATCTATCTATCATCTATCTATCTATCTATCTATCTATCTATCATCTATCTATCTATATCTATCTATCTATATCTATCTATCTATATCTATCTATCTATCATCTATCTATCTATCATCTATCTATCTATCATCTATCATCTATCACAATGCTCAAAAGAAAGTCTCTTATACCCCTTTCGGCCCAGGAGTATCCAATGGCCAGGCATGTGTGCATGGAGTCAGTTCAGGGCCATGAAGGTATTTCACTGAGAAGATGCTTCCTGCAGTTTGGGTTCATCACACAAACATGCTGCCCACAGAGCTGTCAGCTCCTGACACTGTACTAGGATCATCACTGCAACTAGGACAGATCTGACCCCACCTCCGATTTAGGATAAAGTTGTGTGGGCAATCCCATACCAAAAGCAGAACTGAGGTGTCTCTCCAAGTATCCCCAAACCCCATATTTGAAGCAGAGCATGTAGTAAAAACAAACGAAAACACCCCACCCCCTTTCTTCAGACATTCCCTTGTTCTTTCTTCCCATAATTGGACATCAGCACTTCCTCTTTGCACGACCCCTTTAAGAACTTTTCAAGTGGTAAACAATTGGCATTGTGTCCAAGGAAAAAGGCGCTCTGCTGCCAAAGAAATTATTTTTCCCATCAGTTTGTGTCATCTTTGATTAATTTTCATATCTCGCCTCATTATAGCTCATCCCTCTGTTTCAAAGGTGTCCTTCAGTTGGGATACAGGGAAAGTCAAGAAAGCACAGAAGTAAATGAATCCAGTGAAAACTGGTCTCAAAGGAATCGTCTAGTGAGGTTAACACTTCTGACACCAAATGGCTGGGTTGGAGGGATTATTGGAGAAGAGGCAAGGGCAGTGGCGTAGCGTGGGGGGTGCAGGGGGGGCCGGCCGCACCGGCCGCAACATCTGGGGGGGCGCTCGCACTCGCAGCTCTCTGCCCCTACCTGGCTCACTCACTCTCTCTCACTGCAGTGCTGGCTGTGCGAATCCGATCCAAGCTGCTGGGTCGCCGCCCACTGTGGAGGGGGGGGTGCCAGGCGTGCGGGGCGGAGAGAGAGCGAGGGCCGATCTGGGGGGGGGCCAGTGCAGCGGCCGCCCCGCGCTGCGCTGGGCGGGAGAGAACCACACCAGACCAGCCCAGGCAGCAGCAAGAAGAAGCTGGCAGCGGCGGCAGGTTAGGGGTTAGGGGGCGCAAATTACTTGCCTTGCCCCGGGTGCTGACAACCCACGCTACGCCGCTGGGCAAGGGTACTCCTCAGCACTTCATGAGTGGACTCAAAGAATGACAGCACCTTAAAAGTGTCTCCCTCTTCTCATCCAACCCAGGTGTTGAACCCATTTGTACCTGGCCTTCCTCCAAGCAGTTTTCCTATATTAAAGGTAAAGGGACCCCTTACCATTATGTCCAGTCATGACTGACTCTGGGGTTGCGGCGCTCATCTTGCTTTATTGGCCGAGTCGGTGTACAGCTTCCGGGTCATGTGGCCAACATGACTAAGCTGCTTCTGGCGAACCAGAGCAGCGCACGGAAACACAGTTTACCTTCCCGCTGGAGGGGTACCTATTTATCTACTTGCACTTTGAGGTGCTTTCGAACTGCTAGGTTGGCAGGAGCAGGGACCGGGCAACGGGAGCTCACCCCGTCACAGGGATTCGAACTGCCAACCTTCTGATTGGCAAGTGCTAGGCTCTGTGGTTTAACCCACAGCGCCACCCGTGTCCCCTTTCCTATATTACCATCGTGTTGACCTTATAAAGGCTGTTCCTTTAGGGCAAAGCCAGCACTGCCCCACCAGCCTCAGTCTGCCCTCATCCAGCTCTCACCTGCCTGCTTTCTTATTTGCAACCAGTTCAGGGGGTGGTTATTTATTTATTTAATTTTTTATTATTTTTATTTATGGTTTTCAATTTTGTACATTTCAATAATTTTACAATCATTTTAACATTTCAAAACTCAACTTCCTTTCCCCTCTTTCTGTGGTTCCTTCAATTTTTTTTTAAATATTTTCTTCATATTCCAAATTAACTTAACTTAATAATTTATTCATCTACTTTAAATGTATTACAAAAATGCAGGTTATACAATCCTGCCCATGTTCTTATCTGTTTACAATTTATTTGTAAATATTAAATAAACCATTTCCATCCTTTTATAAAATGTTTGTTATCTTGATTTATTATTTTTCCGCTAAGTTTGGCCATTTCTGCATATTCCATAAGTTTTTGTATCCATTCTTCTTTCGTCGGGACTTCTTCTTATTTACTTATTTCATTTAATTTATATACCAACCTACACCTGAAGATTGCAGGGTGGTTTACAGTATAAAAACACAAAAATACACAGTGTAATAACATGCAAAACTATAAGCCCTCACCTGTCAGCTTTTTCCTCCTTAGTCTCAGTTTTGCCTCTTTTTAAATAAATTCATTTATATTAAATTTTATTAAATTTTCCATTTTAACAATCCAATCAAATCACATTAAATATTCCAAATTTATATATATATATATATATATATATATATATATATATATAATACAATACTCCAAATATTCTGCCAGATTATAAATTTTTAATAAGACTTCCCATGCTTCAAGTTTGGAGGGTTCTAATCTTCTCATATCTCTACTGCTTTTCTTAGTCATTTCCGATGGTTCCTCTAATTCTTCCTGTTGTTAACCTTCCTTCTTTCGCGGCCTCTGAGTTGTTCCCACAAGCGAGTTAAAACAAGCAATTAATGAGCAGACGCTTAGACTTGATTTCATCGGAACTGAGTGAAGATGGCGGCTGCCAGCAGCGAAAAGACCTTTGGATTGATTCGGCAGAAACACCAGCGTGTGAGGAGATGCTGCAAACTTATGGAGGGGAATCATAGACATAAAAAGCCACACAGAAACACATCATTGCTCAGTTTTGCCTCTTGCACAACTGAGCAGGGAGGAGGATGGAAACAAAGCTAGAATGAGCCTGACTGTGATACTGTTGGTAGCCATTATTACAATTTGGGTGGAGTGATTTCCATAGTTTACCTAGTTAGAATGACTGGCAGTAATCTCCACCCCAAAGATCCTCACTCTTAAAAGGGTATGTGGCGTTTGGCCTCCTGGGTGTGTGACATCATACCGGGTTCATAAGGAAAGGGTTAACTAATTGTAAAATGACTAACCAATAGGAACCCAAGGGGAGGAGTTAGAGTTGTTAAGAAGTCAGTCTGGAGTTAGAGAAGAGACGGAGAGGATAAGTCTGTGAGTTGGGCGAGTCTGATGTGAGAGAGTGAGAGAATTTGTTAAGAGGAGTCAGTCAAACAGTTGATATAATCAGTCAGAAGGTATTAGGAAGGTATAGGCCGGTAAAGAAACTAAAGTTAAGAAACTGACAAGGATATTATCTGAGAAACCATAAACTTGTTAATATTTATAAAATAAACTTGTTTATTTGGTTCAATTTTAACAACTGTCTGGACTCAGTGTTTTACCAGAGAGTAACGGGTTGGTGGCAGCGGGGAAGCGATCACAGTGGTGGCACAGGGGTCAATAGACTGTTAAATGTTTGGGGACCCTGTGTGATCGCCACAAACGTGGTAGCTTTGTGGTGCTTATGCCTTCTCTTTGGGGACTAGAGTTTGATTCCAGGAAAGGAGGGATTTCATTTAGGACCATTTCTTTTAGTTGGCAACTGGTTTTGGTTTTGTGTATGGTTGATGTTCCAATTGGTGGGACTTCAGATGTTGTTCAGCTTCGGGTCCCATCTGCCCTGATCTAGCATGACCAGATGGGTGGCCATCTGTCAGGGCTTCTTTAAGCTCCGATTCCTGCATTGCAGTGGGTTAGACCAGGTGAGTCTCGGGGTCCCTCCCAACTCTATGATTCTATGGCTTGAGTTGGTTCATTTTCTCGCTAGGCAAATTGCAGTTCATTAGTTGATGTTGCTATTTGGTCACCATGAAAGTACGAACACTGAAAGATTCCTGGAATAATGACCACAGTCAAGTTTTGCTCCCCAGCAAAGAGCTGGTGTGGTATACACATAGCTGTCAACGTTTCCCTTTTTTGAAGGGAAATTCCCTTATTCCGAATAGGATTCCTCGCAAGAAAAAGGAACAGTTGACAGCTATGGGTATACAGCGGAGGAGGAAGCTGCTTGGGCACCAGGGGTGGGGCGAGCCGCCCAAAGGGGCAGGGCACACTGTGGGGCCTCTGGAGTCTGCCTGCCTCCTCCCATTCAGCCACCCTACAGCTGGGGGAGAGGCAGCAGGTGGACTGTTTGGGCAGCACGGAGCCTGCGCGCTCCCAAGCCACCGTGTCTCTCCCAGGAAAGACATGTGGCTCGGATGTGCTGCAGGCCCTGTGGTAAGTGCCACCTGGCGTTTTTTCACTCCCCTCAGTGGTGACACCTGGGGCAGCCCGCACCAACCACACACCCCTTCCTCCGCCCCTGGTGGTTTAGAGCGTTCAACGAGGTTCAGATTCCTACTTTAGCCATGGAACTATCTGAGTGACCTTGAACTAGTTATTCTTTCTCAGCCAAAGTTACCTCACGGGGCTGTTGTGAGAGGAAACACAACCATGTGTGTGATGCTAACCTTGGTGGGAGGATGGGATGAAGAAAAATGTAATAAATAGAACATTTCCCAAAGGCAGGAAATTTCTGAAGTTGTCTTATGGTGTGTCAGTGTCCTTAGATTTGGTTCCATAGATTGATAGAGGGGGAAAGGACCCTGAGGATAATCTAGTTCAATACGTAGCAGGGATTGAACCTGCAACCATGGCATTATCAGCACCACACTCCAACCATCTGAGTTATCCAGCCCTGTTCCAACTAGGTTTTACTCAAAGCAGGCCCACTGAAATTAATGGACCTAAGCTAGTCACGTCCATTAGTTTCAATGAGTGGGACTAACATTGGATACAGGAGCATTGAAACAGGAGCAAAAATCTGACCCTGTTGTAACGGCAACACAGCTTGTGGAAAATCAGGGAGCTGGGAGTGGGTGGGAGATTGTGAGGGAGAACAATATGGTAAAACTGGTGTAAAAGGGAGAATCATAAAGCAGCACTCCATTCCACGTACACCTTTATGTGCTTACATTTGCATTTCAAAGTTGTCATGCAAGATTTATGGCTCCTATTCTTCCTCTTTTTTATCTTGTGTGTCATAATTAAACACAAACAATTGTTGCTTTTTTAAAAAAATAAATAAATGTTTGCCTCTACTGCGGCGCCGTTCATTTCTACAGGTCCCTCTCTGTTGCAAATAAAAAAACACAGATGGAAATGCTGTCAGAACAGCACCCTCGAAGGTATTAACGAGTCAAAGTGACATTTCAAAGGAGACCAGTTACCTGCTTAATAAATAGAGCGGGTTCTGTGTTATTTTCCAGCCTGACACTCGAGTTCTTTTGCTAATTACCTGCTCCGAGAAAATGATCTGAGAGTGATGCATCGGTCAGTGCCAGTTCAGACATTCATCTTTGTACTGAAGAGCTATGAAAAACAACAACACGACAACGCAAGAATAACTCAAAGCTGTGGCTTTCAGGACGATCAAGGGAAACTGGAACATTTGTAAGCAATTTGTTTTTGAGATTGGCGTGTTGAGAAGGGATTAGTCAAACCGCTCTCCCAGCCTGCTTCCTAATCTTATCTCTTCCAAAACTCTCGCATTTATTTCTACCGGCTGCATAACGATTTGGAGTTTAGAACGCCATTGCCAACTTCTTCCCAAATAAGACTCTCTAATAAGAATGATTTATGTAAATAAAAACAACTCGTGGTCTCACTGTCACTACCAATACGTTGGACAGAGTGCTTGACACTTGCCAGCTCTTTGGAATTCTTGTGAAGCTACAGGGTTGACCTATAGGGAAAGGAGGGAAACACAGTTGATGTATGTACAGTGGTACCCCGCAAGACGAACGCCTCGCAAGACGGAAAACCCGCTAGACGAAAGGGTTTTCCGTTTTGAGTGCTTGCAGAATTTCCTATGGGCTGGCTTGCAAGACGACAGCCCATAGGAAATCTCAGGGACAGCGGTGAAGCGCAGCGCGTCTTCCCACTGTCCTCGGACCTCCTCCGAGCCTGGCGGCGGGCGGGGACACCTCCTCGCCGCCGCCGGGCTCGAAGGCTCCTCCGGGCCGGGCGGGGAGGGCACACTCCGCTCTGCCCGGCTTGGAACGGTGCTCCAGCCGGGCGGTGGGGAGGGAGACCTCCGCGCCGCCCGGCTCGGACGGTGCTCTGGCCGGGCGGGGGGAGGAAGACCTCTGAAGGCGGGCGGAGGCGAAGTCTTGCTCCCCTGCCTGCCTGTCCCGGAGGGCTTTTGAAGGCGGGGAGAAGACTTGCCCCGCCGCCTTCAGAAGAGGTCCAGGACCTCTTCTGAAGGCTGGCGGAGGCAAAGTCTTCGTCCTCCTGCCTCTGTTCAGGAGCTCTGACTGACTAGGACAGCGGAGATAGTCCATCCAGCTGGTCCCTGGGTGATTTAGAACAGCTCAGTCCCGACCAGCATTTGAAGATAGAATGCTGCACAGCCGAGAAGTCCTCCGCTGTCCTGGGTTTGTAAAATGCTGGCGGTGGAAGCTGAAGCCTGTTCCGCTCCCAGCCTTCAGAAGAGTGTTCTGTGTGACAGACTGAGTCCCCGGACCTGGTCTAATCAGAGGCTTCCTGTATGAACGATCTAGTTGGTTGTCAATGCAGTCCCATGAGCAACCGTGCATCGCAAGACAGAGTGATACTTGCAAGACTTAGAGACTTTGCGGAACAAATTAATTTCGTGTCTTTGCTAGTGCACCACTGTTTCATTTAGTTGACCGTGCCTTGTGTTCAAGGATCCAGTGTGGTCTAGTGGTTAAGAGCGGTAGTCTCATATTCTGGTGAACTGGGTTCGCGTCTCCGCGTGACTGTGTGGAACCCAGTTCAGCTACTGATTGATTGATTGTGTGGCTGCAGAAATGGATAAAAGCCCCCCATCCAAACAATGACTATTATCAGTGCATGTAATATTTTTTATTTTTTTATTTTTTATCATCTACAATACTGCCTTCTTTATTTTATAGTACAATACATTGCCTATTGCTTTCATTTTATGGATCAATGGTCTCGTTAGATAGTAAAATACATGTTAAATTGCTGTTTTAGGGGCTGTTTTTAAAAGTCTGGAACGGATTAATTCATTTCGCATTACTTTCTATGGGAAAGCATGCCTTGCTTTTAGAACGCTTTGGTTTTGGAACAGACTTCCGGAACGGATTAAGTTTGGGAACCAAGGTTCCACTGTACTGCGTTAACATCTTTCACTTTCCTCGGGACAGATCCACTATAGATTTTAAGCATATCCAACACACATTGAAAGTGCTTGACTTTCCCCAAAGAACCATGAGAACTGTGGTTTGTGAAGGGTGCCGGAAACTGTAACTGTGAAAGGGAAACTTCTGGTCTCATAAATTCTTTGGGGGAAGTCATGTGCTTTCAATGTGCATTGAATAAGCTTTAGAACTATGGTGTGGATCTGCTCTTAATTTACTCCCAAAAAAGCATCAGCACTGCAAACAATGGGTAGTAAATAAATATGTCACAGTTTATAATAATTAACCTAGTTCAGAATATACATAAATATGGCCACATTTCCAGTTTTATTTCTTCCCTTTCTACCTTTCTTTCAAGGTTCTCATGGTTCTCACCCTCTCCACATTATCCTCTCAAAAACCCTGTGAGATGAGTTAGGCTGAGAGTTGGTGACTGGTCCAAGGCCATCTTCATGGCTGAGTGAGGATTTGAACTCTGGTCTCCTAAGTCCTAGTCCAGCACTCAAACCTAGGGTTGCCATACGCCTGGGCATAACCTGGAACACTGGAGTCAGAAGCAGTGTCCAGGCGGCAGTGTTGTTTTTGGCGATTATAAATAGCAACAACTTTGCCCCCAAAAAGCAATGCTACACACTGGTGTAATGTTGGCTGGTACTGATGGGAACTTGACTGCAACAATATCTGGGTGGTCGCAGGTCCCCTTCTGTGGTCTAGGTCTTTTTTGAAAATGGAAAGTCAGAAATAGCTAATATATAAGTGCTACTTTGGAAACAAGACCTGATAATTCAGAACGTAAAGATCCAGAATTTTGGGGAGATGCATTGCATGTTGTAAAGTAATCAGATATCCTTTTGATGATGATAGCTGATAATGAAGAGGAAAATTCACACAGCTTAGCTCAGTTGGTTAGAGCATGTAGCTGGCAATGCCAGGGTTGCAGGTTCGATCCCCATATGTGATAGATACATATTCCTACATTGCAGAGGGTTGGACTAGATGATCCTCAGGGTCCCTTCCAACTCTACAATTCTATGATTCAAAGAAATCCAGTGTGGAACAAGCCCATGACATCTAGCATTTACAATTAGCTATGCATAGTTTTGCTCAGTTTTTAATTAAATCCTGAGGGCCCTTACACAAGGAAATACTGCCATATGAAACTAAAGTCAGGTTTCCTTTATGGATCTGCATAGATTTAAACTGTTCCTACTTTCAGACACCTCTCCAAATTCTGTCCAACCAAAGGAACGCTATTCTCCACCTCCCTTGCATTCCCCAGCAAAGTTGTTTTCCGTATCTGGAGGGTGTGTGCATGAAATCCTCAGTGAAATGTTAGCATTTTAAGTAACTCTTGTAACTGAAATGAAAATCAGGAAAGTGAAGCTAGCCGCAGCAGGAGAGAAAATGGATTTCATTTTCTATGTATCAGTTTCTATTAGTTCTGAAGATAGGTCTATATTACCAGAGGTGTTTGCCCCGTGGTCAAAGCACATTGGATAAATGGACTTTCAAAAGCACCTACTGATGAAGCTGACAGTATCATTAGAGTTAACTATCAATCACTACCCCAGAAAGGCGTAATGGAATTCATTCAACATTTGCCTTGTCGAGTCTTAAGTCATATCCTGGAAGCAAACAAACGAGCATGAAACACAACCTTGCCACCACCGTTCCTTGATAAACAGACAGCACTAAGTGTGTGCAACACCCATCCTTATTCAGGTTGGCAACAGACAGCTAATATTCAAGGTGTAAAACAGTGGAGAGGATGGTGCTCTATCTCCTCAACCAACCAAGAAAAGGAACACCGATGGAATTTGCTAATCAGCAGTAGTTGTTGCTGTTTAGTCGTTTAGTTGTGTCTGACTCTTCGTGACCCCATGGACCAGAGCACGCCAGGCACTCCTGTCTTCCACTGCCTCCTGCAGTTTGGTCAAACTCATGTTGATAGCTTCGAGAACACTGTCCAACCATCTCATCCTCTGTCGTCCCCTTCTCCTTGTGCCCTCCATCTTTCCCAACATCAGGGTCTTTTCCAGGGAGTCTTCTCTTCTCATGAGGTGGCCAAAGTATTGGAGCCTCAGCTTCAGGATCTGTCCTTCCAGTGAGCACTCAGGGCTGATTTCCTTCAGAATGGATAGGTTTGATCTTTTTGCAGTCCATGAGACTCTCAAGAGTCTCCTCCAGCACCATAATTCAAAAGCATCAATTCTTCGGTGATCAGCCTTCTTTATGGCCCAGCTCTCACTTCCATACATCACTACTGGGAAAACCATAGCTTTAACAATACGGACCTTTGTTGGCAAGGTGATGTCACTGGCTGGTCCTTTGGGGGAGGAACACAGGAAGTAGCTTAATCATAATCAAATAGTAGTAATAATAATAACAATAATTTTCTCCCAGAAAAATATTATAAATACAATAAAGCATCAAACATTAAAAACTTCCCTAAACAGGGCTGCCTTCAGATGTCTTCTAAAAGTTAGATGGTTGTTTATTTCCTTGACATCTGATGGGAGGGCATTCTGATTTACTGGGAGTAGGCCCCACTGAACTCAATGAGACTTGCATAGTTTATGCTCTAAGTAAAGGAAGTGAACCTATTTTCTTGAATGAAACATAAATCCTTTACAATACTGAACCACAGCAACATGTTAAACCCACAGAGGTAAGCCAATGCATTCTGCTGTATATTCTTTTAACAAAAAATAATAAGATCTGTGGTTTGACTCCATACAAGTTGCAGAAAATCTATAAGTCACCTACTGCTCCACGTTGGAGATTTGGTTGGAGACATGATTGTTTGAAAGTCAGGCATATTGTAAAAATGTAAGAATCTGTTGGAATGAAATTACTGGGACAACCGATGAATTAGAACTGGTCTCTATTTAATGAGGAACATTAAGAGGGGCAGCATCAAAATAGGAAATAAATGCGGTGGGACATATGCTGGTTGCAGAACTATTATGGTTGGCAAAATGCTGGAAGGAACAGAAACTGTGGCACTATATCCCTGAAAAACAAATACCATGTGGTTAACTTTGGGATCACCAATCTGGAATCCATAGGCACCCCGGCACCCCCAGAGCAATGGTAGCACAACCACCAGACTATCAGCTCTCCTCTGGGCCCAGTTGCTGATTGAATGACCTCTTGTCAGGAGTCTAAGTTCCCAGCTTGATAACACAGTAAGCGCAGGTAATTAAAAAGGAGGACTTATTGCAAAAACAAACAGATAGCTCCAGACGACTCTGACAAAGCCTCCGGCATCATTACTCAAGATGACCCTTCTGAAGACTCCTTCCGGTTTCTGCAGAAGATTTTGAACTTTCGCTTACGTCTCTTGTTTTGCTTCCTGTCTAGCAGCCCTCCCTTTCTCTGACTGTGGGGACTTATTGTATCAACTCCAACCTCTTCTTTTTCAGAGAGGCTGTCTCTGAGTTTGTTTGCTCCATTTTGTGCTTCATGCGAGCTTTGGCTGCGTTGTAGCCTGCTCCCATCTACTGTCTTATCAGACTGCACACCAAGGTCAGGGAGAGCTGCAGTCTGCAGCTGCCGCCTCTCCACTGTCTGACTAACAGCTAAGTCTCTCTGTTCCTGGCTGCTTTCTGGATTTGGCTGTAATTCTTCGCTTGTTCCTGACACCTCTGTGGTTCCTCCAATGCCAGCTAAGACTTAGTTCGTTTCTGCTGGGTCTTCTGTTTCTACAAGAGGCATTGATGACCATCAGATTGAATGGCGTTCAAAGAGAATGAGACAAATTCATGGAAGAGGATGAGGCTTCCCCAAAGAATCCTGGGAAATATAGTTTGTTAAGGGTGCTGGCAATTGTTAGGAGACCCCTATTTCCCCCATACAGCTACAATTCTGCTAGGGAGTCTCTAGCTGTCATTCCTGCATTGCAGGGGGTTGGACTAGATGACGTTTTGGGTCCCTTCCAACCATTTTATGATTCCCAGAGTTCCCTAGGGTTGGCAATTGTGTCTCTGAAGGACTTACACAGGTCATAGCTGGAACGATTGCGTTCGCTCCCACAAGAGGCAGTAGTGGTCACCAGCATGGGTAGCTTTATCCATGAGACAAACTGATGGAGGATGAGGCTTCCAATGACTACCAACCCTGATGATTATGTTCTACCTCTGTCGCCAGAGGTAATATACTTCTCAGCTGCAGTTGCTGGGAACCACAAGAGGGGTGTGTGTTGCTGCACCCGGGTCCCGTTTGTAGGTACTGTGGTGTTATGTACTAAGCTTGGATCCTAGAACAATAGGCAAGTAGGATCCTAGAATGCAACAACTGATTGGCTTGCAGGAAAAGACCAATCAGGCTCCAGGAGGAAGTTAATCAGCCTATTAGGCTGGTAGGGTCGTAGAATGCAACAACTGATTGGCCTGTAGGAGAAGACCAATCAGGCTCCAGGAGGGAAGCAGAATCAGCCAATCAGACGGGATTCATTGTGTAAACAAAGGCCTGAGGTTTTGGGGGAAATTCAATCACTGTTCTACAAGCTGCAATAAAGAGCATGAAATCACTGCAGGACTCCGAGTATATTTCAGTTGGCCACTGTGAGAGTGTGATGCTGGACTAGATGGGCCAGTGGCCTGATCCAGCAGGGAACTTCTTATGATTCTTAAAAGGTAATAGAATAGGAGCATAGGAAGTTGCCTTGTACCAAATCAGACCATTGGTCCATCTAAGCTCAGCACTGTCCACACTGACTGGTATCAGTTCTCCAGGATTTCAGGCAGGAAGTCTCTCTCCCAGCCCTACCAGGAGATGCCGGGGATTGAACTCAGGACCTTCTGCTTGCAAGGCAGACACTCTTCCACTGAGCTATGGCCCTCCCACTACAACTGCAGCACTTGCCCACTCCACTTGGCAAAGACCTCCATTGCATTTATCTCCAACAAGATACTACATTTCCCAGCACATTTTTTTGGATCCAAGCAGATGTCCTCTTTTCGCATTCTTCTCCCCATCCTTAGGTACCACTGTTCCCTTCCTTCCCTAGTGCTATGCCTTTTAACTCAACAAGCAGCAGGCATCTGTATTTATGAATAAGGATGGATTTTCCCCACCTCTCCCCTCCCAAATAGTTCTGAGCTGCTCTTTTTGCCACATTATATCATTGCCGAGTTAATGCACTAATGGACATTTACAATTACCGGGACTCTGGTGTAATTAATGGCAAATAAGGGAAACCTCATAAAATCAAATTTACTGTACACATTTCCCTGCTTTCCCCATTAAGGGAAACTATTGATAAGGTTAAACAAATTGGGAAGATATAGACACACATGCCTCTTGCACTAATTAGGCTAACTAGATATTTTTAGAATCACCTCTTTCTAAGTTCTTGTTTAAGTCTGAAATGGAAGTTTGTAATCCCATCAAGAATAGCTCTGACAAAGTTTATCAATGGGCAATATGTTTTATGGCTTCCTTTCACTCATCCTTGCGGTTTAACTACCTCTTATTCCCATCACACCCCATAAGCAGCAGGTGCTGCTTCTCAGTTTGTCACCACTAAAAACTTCTGAAGCCATCTGAAGAATCTGCACTGAGAAAGGTGTTACTGGAAAAACCCCAGTGGTTGAGCAGAGCTTACTAAGTTTCAGTTACCCTGAGCTGCCCATGGACTAAGCAAGTTATTTCTCCTAAATCCTCTTAATTCCCAGCTGCCTATCCAAACCTGGCCTTCTGTGATGTCAGAGCAGCTAAAAGAACGACAGTCAAACTAGACCTCTAAAACACTTAGGGGCTGGGTCCCTGGTTACAGAAGACAGATACCTTCACCAAAGTCCTCACCAATGAGGTCAAGGTTATAGATGCAGCACAGTCCAAGCAAATGAAGAACAAGCAGAGAGAATCAGTCGAGATCCAAACGTGATCCGGAGACAGAGTCAGGCAGCAGTCCAAGGTCAACAACACAGGGAGTTCAGACAAGGTACATCACATTAAGGCAGGGAAACGAGAAGCTAGAGACTTGTCTTGTCTTCAACAACTAGAAGACCCAAAAGAGAGGCCTTATATACTCTGGTCTCCTAAAGCACACCCTAACCACAGTGAAGGAGTATCAGGGGTTGCTTACCCCTGAGTGCACCACGTATTCATGAGTAGACTGACAACTTGAGTCCATAGATGTGTCAGGGCTGGAGTCAGACACAGGTCAGCAATAAAGGAAGCAAATCTCTGTTGTCAGTGAACTTAAGCATTCAAGGAAACAAACTTACTACTCAGCCTAGTGGCCTCAGCAACACTTCCCAGTAGGTCTTGCCTCTATGGAGCAGTTGCCAGGACTGAAGCTCCCTAAAGCTCCTCCTCTACCAGATGTTCCCCAAGCAGTCTCAAACTGTGTCTGTACACCTCTGGCCTCTGTTCTGCCTTCCTCATTACTCTGTGAGTTCTTGCAGTCCAGCAGGAAGGGGAACTTGTCTCAGCAGGAGAAGGAGACTTTGGATTCTTCTGAAGTCCATTGACCACCTCCTCTGCTTCAGCCTCAGAGTCTGAACTGCTCCCTGCCACAGATTCTTCCTACTCACTAAACTCTGTTGCCCTTTCAGCATCTGACATCTCCTCCCAATCTTCTCCCTCTGACCTCTCCTTGTCATCTCAAATGTGTCTCAGGGTAGTCACCATCTGTTTCAACCTCTTGTTTTCCCCACACACATCTGCCAAGTCACCAAAGCCAATTAAACCAACCTGCCTCTAATTGCACCTACCTAAGACTACAGTGTGGAGTAAATGGGGGGAAAAAATCCCCTCTGCAAGCTAATCACCCAAAAGGAGGAGAAAAAATCCTGCTAAACAATCAGGTAAACTCACACTGCATACTGGGAGAGTGGACTGGGTGCCACGTTTGGAGAAAAAGAAGAGGAAGGGGCAGGTGGCCCAACCTTAAATACACTGCCTGGCTGTGATTGACAGTTTCTGGAGCCAGAAGTGAGTTCATGTCAGTTTTCCGGTTCCATGCCATTGGTACTCCTGCCCAGACACCTTTTCAGGTCAGATGGGAGAGCAATCTGGTCTTATAAGCACCCTGCAAAATCAGAATGATTTTGACATAGTTCGAAAGCAAGCAAGCAAGCAAATCAGGATGCTTGCTCAAGAAGTCAGCCATTTGGAGGAGCCCAGAGAACAACCAATCGTAATAAAAAATAGAGCAATCTATTGTGACTATAGAATACCTATGAAAATGTGGGCTGCATCTGATGAACTGGTTAAATGCATCTGATCTCATCTAAGCTGAGACCTGGTATCACTGCGTTGGAAAGGGAAAATAAAAATCTTACACAAGGGAAACCAAAGGCTCCACAGGGCACTGAATTTCATTTTAGATCCATGTCAGAAAGCGGAGTCTCTCCTATATCTCATTAGAGAGCACAGCCTTTTATCACAGTTCATTTGGTCGGCTGAAATTTATTCCATCAGCATGACTGGGCGGAACATTTTTAGCAAGCGAACACAGGGAGTTGTTTGTTCATCGGGCCCCAGCAAATCACTCACCCTAGAATCATTCCCATCACACCCACCTCCATCCATGCATGTTAAAAGCCATTGATTCGAACTCGAGCAAAGAAAATATTTACTACCTTCCAAGAAAGGGTTCAAAGCACAACCATAAGAAATGCTTCGAGTAATATCAAAGATAAGTAAGAAAGAGGGCGGGATAAATAAAGTTGATCAGTCACGGCAAAGAGTAAGCGATGCTCATTATGCACCAGCCATTTCGTGGAAAATAAGCAGCGCTGAGATATTTAACATATAGATTGCTTGCATCCAAAGACAGACAAAATGTATTAACCGTCGCTAAAACAGACCTTTCTTTCTCCTTAAGGCAAGAAATTACCAGCATCAGACGATTGTCTAGAATGAAAACTTGCTCATGACTAGGGATGGCTATGCTCTGCCTTTACAGCCAAAGGCATGATCGCTTCCAAATAAGAGTAATGGAAAGTGAAGGAGTGGGAGAGTGTTGATGAGCTTTGGTTCACCTTGTGGGCTTTGCATAAGCATCTAGTTGTAGTTGGCCACTGTGAGAAGGGGATGCTGGACCAGGTGGGTCATTGGCGCGAACCAGCAAGGCTCTTCTTATGATGGCAGAGAAAATTGATCCACACCAAAAGGCAAACTTAGTGAATTCACACTTTCCAAGATGAAATGCAAACCAAAACAGAGCTTTCCCTCAAAATTTGCAGTTATCTGAACTTTGCAATTAAGATATCCTGCCAAGTAATGCATACCAAAACTATATATACCAGGGTTAAGTATTCATAGAAATGTAAAATCGTACCTTGGAAGTTGAATGGAATCCGTTCTGGAAGTCCCTTTGACTTCCAAAATGTTTGGAAACCAAAGTGTGGCTTCTGATTGGCTGCAGGAAGCTGTGGAAGCCCCATCAGACATTTGGGTTCCAAAGAACATTTGCAAACAAGAACAGTCACTTCCGGGTTTGCAGCATTCGGGAGCCAAGACGTCCGAATACCAAAGCGTTCGGGATCCAACCTATATATAAAGGTAAAGGGACCCCTGACCATTAGGTCCAGTCGTGGCCGACTCTGGGGTTGTGGCGCTCATCTCGCTTTATTGGCCGAGGGAGCCGGCGTACAGCTTCCGGGTCATGTGGCCTGCATGACTAAGCCACTTCTGGCGAACCAGAGCAGCACACGGAAACGCCATGTGCCACAGCGCCACCCGTGTCCCTAACCTATATATAATGCTGAACAAAAACAGTTCACATTGGAGAAAATGGCTTTGTGAAAAAAGGAATGTGTATTAGGAAGCAAGGCACACAACAATGTGTATTATAGGAAAGATTGTCACACTAAAATGCATAAATCAGATCAACACATAGGTAAGGAACAGGTTACAAAGTGCAACAGGTACCTAATAAATATTGTTATTCTCCTTTTGTTACCTTTCCCTACCAAGACAAGCAGGGGATGTGACCTCACAGAATGCCCCATCTAGGAATTTACAGGGGAACTCCATGTGTTGCAACCCTTTGCTTATCTAGCAACATGTGAAATGTTACTTTAGCTGCATCATTGCTTCCCACACAACCAACAAGCAACACCCACATTAGCAGGCCAAGCAACCAGAGTCTCGGGAGTGGGCAAGCAAACAGGGACTTTTTTTTTTAGTTTGTTAAGTTTGTGAGGTCTGTTCATGCCTGTGCTGGCATCTCCATGTTGTGAGAGACAGAGGCAGTGTCAGCAGTAACTCAGCATCCAATTTACTGCCAATCGCCCCCTGGAGAAAGGGGAGGTGTCCCATTGACAGGAGGAGGCACTGGAGATGACTCCACAGCAGGAGACATGGGGTGGGGTGTCCAATGTCACAGGAGTGGAACACTCCTTTACCAGCCCAGCTGGATTCTTTCCTTGGATCCACCCTCCTGAGTGCTGGCCTCCTCCCTGGGTTCAAACACTTCTTGGGGGGTCTCAGTTTTAACTCTCCCCAGGGGCATCCATCTCCAACCCCCTGGAGTTGTCCTGCTCCTCCTCCAGTTCCAGCCATCCCCTCCATGAGAGATATTCCCAACCCGACTCAAAACTCTGGAGCACATCACACGACATGCTTTGCTTAGTGTTGGACATTTAAAAATGTAGTCTGAACCATGAAGCACCAATGTGATGGCTGAACCAGGACTGGGGAGATGTAGCTTCAAGTCCTCCCACAGCTCACCTAGGGCTAGTCCATCTCTCTCCTTTTCTCCCTCTCTACCCTGGACCTTCCAACATTCAGCTCAGAGAGAGCAATCACCATCAGCATCAGTCACCCAGTTTTATCAGTGCTGAGTGACCTTTCATCTCCCCTCCCTCCCCATCTGGCAAGTGGCCTCCTATGCTTCGCTTCTCCAGTTCCAAACTAGGTACCCCTCCTGGTGCCCACCTGTCCACCTTATTCGCTTTCTCTGCCTGCGATGTATCAGAGGCTCATAGGGACACATGCCTTCAGGGCCGGCAGGGGAAAAGAGACAGATGAATCTGAAGGAAATGTTCTATGACATGCTCTACCCTTAAAAAAAGAAGAAGAGAAGAGAAGAAAGATCTATGTCTTCTGTGCCTGCAGACTCATCCCTCATTATCCCTCCAGCTTCCTGCTGTGATCACGCTGAGGATGTGAGCATCAGCTAACGGGCCCAGATGCTAAAGCTCTGCAATCCATTTCCCAGTGGTGGCATTTTGGCCCTTGGCTAGCTTCCTCCATTCTCATTTTTTTTAAAATTTTTTATTATTTTGGAATGACCTCTTTCTCTCTCAGCTCATCTGTTGCGGATGCCAGAGGCAAGAGGCTTGATTTTCAGTTTGGTGTGCAAGGAGTAGGCAGGTGGCTTCTGGTCCTCGTTTCCCCTCTCCTGATATAAGAACTCCTTTGTCTCTCTTTATTGAGAATACAAACCAGGAATCATGTCGACTGTGCCTTTCCCTTCTAAAGCAGATCAATACTGAGTTGCGAGTAAAACAACAATGCTTGAAATAAGTTGGCTGAACCAGCAGGGGAGGAGGTGATAGACGGAAAGGCGGCCAATTCTTCCCTCACTGATTCCTTTTTGAGTAGCTCCTTGTTGCCGTGTTCCCATGATTTATTTCCTCTCTTTTTCTTCTTCCCCAATCAGCCTTCCTCTGTATGTCCAATGTTAGGAGCATTTTGTTAACCTCGTGACCCTGTGATGGCCACATATAAGCTTGTACTCAGAATGGCTTTGTTTGCCAGGAGGAAGGTACCTTAACATTTCTTTATTCTTTCAACCAGAAGTCTTACCAGACTATTTATTTCTGAAACTTGCTGCTATATAAATATATAGTCCCAACATACAGAGAGGCCACATTCATGAGATGTGCAAGAGTTATTTTCTGATTTTGCTGTCAGTGTCTGTAAAATGTAGTGACTGGAAGTGCTGGCCACAGAATAGTTTTGGGGGCTGGACTGTGGACAGCAGTCTGAGGTGAGCCATGGACAAGAAACAAGTCAGGAGGCAGGATTGAGAACTTCAAAACCCATGATGCGTTTCAAATAGGAACAAGATACACCTATGCAAAAATTAAAAAAAATTAAAATGCCCAGTTCCTGCAGTGAAATGTAGGTATCACTGATGCCAGTAGGGCAACAAGAATCAGCAAAATCTGAAAAGACAGGCACATTCCACCATAAATTCATTGCTCTGGTCTGGGGAAATGGACTGCTGGGCAGAGCAAGATGTCAGTTTCATCTTACTCTCCTCCCAACCCCCATAATTAGCCACATCATTTGTGTACGGCAAAACCGGGTGACCATTTTGAGTAATTGGAGGGAATCAAAATTTGGAGTTTGAAGCCTACCACAGCATTCGTGTTGGTTTCTAGGGCTCTTCCTGGCAGCCACTGCCTATTGGCTGCTACCATTTTGTCCTCAAAGCTCACAGTCATGATGCTATGCTGTGGCTCGGTGGTACATTATCTGCTGTGCATGCAGAAGGTCCCAGGTTCAATCCCTGTCATCTCCAGGTAGGGCTGGGAGTGGCTCCTGGCTGACAACCTGGGCAGCCGCTGCCAGTCAGACAAAAATGTGTTAACGGACCTATGGTCTGAATTGGTATTAGGCAGCTTTCTTTGTTCCTATAACTCAACAGTGGAGGCTTGGCTGTCAACTACAGTTGCCAGGTGCTGACTGCCAAAAAAGGTCCAGATACCACCATGGAGGGCTTGGTGTGTTTGGGGCCACCACTAACATTTGTTGGGTTGTGTGTGTGTTGTGTGTCTACCAGCCCTCTCTTTGCCCTTTTGCCCATGAAACTCAGTCATTCATTTCAGGACCAGATTCCTCCTGGGTGGTTCAAGCACTGGTTCACAGGCATCACAGCAAGTCAGGATCTATTCCCAATCAAGTTATGGAGCAACATCCCCTATGTAGACAGTTAGACAAGTTCTATTCAGGAACTGCCCCCTCTACCCCCAAGCAAATAAATAAGCAGGAATAGTTCATGAAATCATATGCAGCAATGGGAAGTCCTCACAGGAAGGACATTTTCACTTACGATAAACAAAGAAAGGAAAGATGTTTTGCAGAACAGATTGCTCACCATTATGTCAGAATGCCAAATATTCTCTTCTTTTTTGTGTGTTACAAAAACACAGTTACGCTCGCTTCCTGAGAAATAAATGAGCCGAAATTCTATACCCTATGGACACAGACATATTGAGCTGACAATATGTTTTGCTGCCTCAATTTCTGAAATCTTTTCAGACGGTGATTTTACCGCAGCATCTACAGCTATCAGATAGCAGCATATCGGAACAAACAGTATATTTGTTGCTGAAATTGCATTTGAGGAAGGAGTTGAAGCTACACTGAATTGGACCTCAGTAAACAAGGAGAAATTGAAGGAAACTCATGTGAACAGCTACTTCCACACACACTAAACCCTTATTATGCATTCCCTCTTGTTTTGATGCCACCAAAGTTTGGGTCAATATGACATATGAAGCCTGATCCTATTAATGCTATTCAACAGTAAATCTTGAGTGCAATGTGATTTGTGATATTTTCTAGGAATCTTTTGGAGAGAGAATTCAGAATCTTTTTGAGTAGGGATGTGGCAATTGTTTTCAGTCTGAGGGATGCATTCCTTTTGAGGGTAACCTTCTATGGGCCACAGAGAAGTTATGGGTGGTGTCAGAGCTTAGCTGGCATGAAGCCATGGATGCACATTTTAGTTGTGCAGTATGGTAGTTTCTACACATATCCACTCATTTACATCTCTCCATTTAGGCAAGCAATATCTACAAAACCCTTGGCCACAAAATGTGACAATGGCCTGTGGCTTAGATGCTTTGGGGATGGAGTGAGATACATTAAATTGCTCTGTTGATATGTATTTGCCACAGTGGCAACATATGATGGGGTGGGAGACCTTTTTCAGTTTGAGGGCCGCATTTCCTCCTGGGTCAACTTCCAGGGGCCACAAGTCAGTGGTGGAAGTCAAAAGTGGGGAGAGCAATGAATGTAAACTCTGTTGTTGGACAGCAGGCTAGTTTCTACACACACACACAACCCTCTCTATCCCACATCCAGGCAAGGAAGACATTGGAAGCTAGAGCGCCCAATGAACAAACTCCAGCTACCCCCCTCACGGCATTCTCCTTATACGGTTTCATCATTCCTAATTGCAACACTATGGAGACAGTCTGTCTGGCTTTTTTAGAGACCATTTTGAGCTCCAAATCAGTGCAATTTGCTACAAATCAATTCAGGTCCACTAAGACCACTCTGCAGTGATTTATAGCTGCCTCAAACATATCCAGATTCAGCACCTAATATGATTTGAGATTTGGCTAGTTTGGTTGCACAGTTCTAATAACAATAAAGAAAGCGTTGCCTTATTTTTGATTACCCTGGTTATCTTCTTTTTGAAATTAGAAGGAATGATAAGCAGGATCTACGAGAATATGTTGCACTGTAGCCTAACCTTCCAAGAGGAGCCCACATTCTCCCCTCTAGGAAACACTCTTCCACCCGCTCCCAGTTTTATGCTTTTTACTGCCCCAGCTGGGAAAAAAAAAGTCTACTGAGCATGCTCAGTCTTCATTAATCACCCCCCTTTCAATTTTAAGAAAGGTCTTCTCTTTCACAAGCCTCAGGAGGAAGATACCCTCTCCTCCTTTCTCATCCCCCAATGGCTCTGCTTTGGTAACACTTGCCACCTGAGATCTCTATCTGAGGGAATGTTGAAGATTTATAAATGGTCATCTCTTTTCATCTCCTACAACAACAAAGGCCTTCATCTCCCATTAGAACTGAGGAAATGGCCAGTTCTGGGATGAAAAGGGGCAGTGGGATGCTTAGCCATCCTTTATGAGCATAGGGCATGGGGCAATCTGCCCTAATAGCAGGTGATTATGTGGAGCTATATACCAAACAGTACATCTTTTGTGTTTTTATGTACTACAAAAAGCCATGGTTTTGTTCTGCTGATGGCTCTGCATTTGCTCAGGGTCACGTCAGGACACGATTATGCCTTTTGCTTCACATCAAAAGTCACAATTTTGCTCTTTATCTAACAACATTCACTTCTTTAGTACAAGGCAAAGGAGTGGGTGGGGCAAGGGGAAGAGAACAGAGGCATCTCAAAATGTAATCGACTCCCTGAATTGCAAAGAACAATACGTTGTTTTTAATGGGTAATATCATCTCCCATCAAGGCAGCCTTCAGCATTTAGCTTTTGTAAGATTTCACCATCTTCAATAAAGAACTATTTTACTAGGCTATGAAAGAAGGGAAGGAGGGACTGTTAAGACAGGATTGCTTTTATGAAATCCGGTGTTTATACAAAATCCCATGATGGTAGTAGGAAGGGGGAATCTAGAGGTATAGGCAACTATTGAGAAAGAATGGGTATTTCTGTCGTTTTGACTTCTCTCAGTTTCTCATTTTTTCTAGCCCAGAAATTTGTGATTTTTTAGGGGCAACTTTTCTAATCATCAGCATTTCCATGAATTTCCCCCTAATACAATGCACGTATGTGTGTTACCATCACTAATACACTCATTTCGCCCTAGTAAAATATAAAAACAATTTATCCTAGTATATGCATTTTGTATACATTTCTTGGCTGGAGAATAGCACTGCAAAATCTGGAGAATAGCAAATTTTTGGCAAATACCTGCATTTCAGTTTGCACATTGGTTTGGGAAAAGCGATTTTGGTAGTGTTCATTTAAAGATTATCGTATCGTATCATAAAATCAAAGAAAATCGACCCCACACCCAATTCCTACTATTGAGAAACAAAAGCTCAACCCACTGGTCTCTTCATATTTGTTGAATGTGTAAAGTCTACACTGTAGACACCATCCTTCCCTTTAATCCCAGCCAATTATCACTTGGGTTAGCTCCAGAAGCTGTTTCTGCACAAGCAGTCAGTCCTAAAGAGGTCCTCATTTCCAGATTTGGCCCAGTCTTCTGCTTGCTGCCATGCTGTGGCCTCCAGGTCATCCTCTGATGAGTTATACCCCAGCTGACACCAGGCAGGATACTGGGCTAGATCAACAAACAGTTTGATCTGGTACAAAGCTTCTTCTTATTTTAAAAAATTAGTTTTTATTAAGCATTTCCTTGTGTAACAACAACAGCAATGTTTCTAGCTGCTGAGAGCAAGTGACTTAAGAGTTCCTTGTCACATGAATGTGCATTGTTGTCCTGGAAGACATTTAATAGGGTTAATTCTGGAGTTGCCTCTATTACTTGTTTTGTTATTTTGCAGAATTCCCCCAGCACTGATATATGAAAGGACTGAACTTTGGGACATTCCCACCACATGTGGAGGTAAGTGCCTGTGGAGGTTTAGCCTCTCCAGCATTTAGGTGAGGTTCCTGGGTGTATCAGTGACAGCTTCCGTGGTTAACGGAAACCTCAACAAACTATACCATCCAAACTACTCCCCCCCCCCGGTGGAAAATCAACAAAGACCTGAAGAGATGGAGCAAAACCCGCTCCACTCTCTCAGACAAAATAGTTGTGATTAAGATCATAATACTCCTTAAGCTAACCTACTTATTCCAAACCCTTTCAGTCTGGATTCCCCCAACCCAACTCGGAAAGTGGCAGAAAAAGCTGCACTCATTTAGCTTCTCAAACAAAAAGTCATGAATAAACTCCTGCAGCTCCCCTCCTCAGAAGAAGGATGGGGAATTCCTAACATAGAACTATACTATATTGCCAACCAAATGAGCCACATAATCCCATATACCCAAGAAGACGAAACGAAAAAATGGGTGCACATGGCAATAGATGCATCCAGAAACATCCCCACTACAGTGTGCAAAGCTGCTACTGAGGTTCTTCTGAAAGTAAGGGTGTCACAGTTGTGGGTGTGTTTTCCTCTGTGAGATGTTGGCAGGTGTGTGCTCTTCCACCATCTTTCTGCAATGCTCCCTTGCTATGGAAAATGTGGTTTGTGGGTAGCCCCACACTGAGCCTATTGCAACAATCGATTCTCAAGGCTACACACGCACACATATATAGTTCCCCTAGTTTCCCTTAGAATTCTTTTTAGAGTGAGCATATTCCTTTATGCTGATATTAAGACTTGCACCAGGGGTATGACTCATTTGGTATTTACTGCATATGAATGGCATTTATGGCTGCAGAAAACCCAGAGAAGCTGTGATCAGCAAGGCTACTAATAGCATTTTGCAAGAGCCAAAGGGAATATGTAACCTAATTAAAAACAGAGGGCTTAGCAGGTGACAATAAGAATCTATTATTATTCAGAAAGTGTTTTCCTGTATTGAATGGGGATGTCAGTGGCTGTTCTGGACAACAGCTACGTGGAGTCTGCATGCTTAGAGATAGCCTACTTCTGAATGGGGAGAAACAGCTCTTGCTTTTATATCCTGCTTTGTGGGTTTACCAGGGACATATGGCTGGCCAGTTTTCTGGGAGACAAACACTGTCAAAGAGCTATTGCCTGCCTCATGTCCTGAGCTTCCTGGAAGCACTGGATTG